AAAGTGGCATTTTGTCTGGTTGTTCAGTCCAGAATCTGGACTGAGCGCTGATTGGCCGATTAGACAAACGATTTTTAAATCTGTCATTTGATTGGCTGGTGCTAATTAGATTATACTATTGTTGTTGATATATTTTATAACGATCACAACTACAATTATAGCCGGCCCACTAACCGGCTGAATTTAAATTAAAACTGCAGTAAAATTAGAAAATAATCGCAAATTAGCGAAATATATTGCAAATGTAGCTTATATTAAATCGCCATCAGATTGCACTATCGACTGACGTATAGTTATAAAGTATACTTAATATATATATACTTTATAATTATACGTCACTGTTTGTTGATAAATACGGCAAGCGCCATGTAAAGCTCATTGTAGTCACTGAAACCTCTGCGGAGGAGAGAGCAATCGGGTGGCGATTTAATATAAGCTACATTTGCAATATATTTCGCTAATTTGTGATTATTTTTGTTAATTGTATAAGTTCATTGCAGTTTTAATTTAAATTCAGCCGTTTAGTGGGCGCCTATGCTATAATTAGATTGTTGTTGTCGTTGTGTGAAATTTAAATTTCTCCTGCGACATTTTGATTGGATACTAAATATAAACTTTGCTGTGGGCGGAAAGCGATCAGGTTAAGTTTTGTGTCAGGCTCTATTTGTAAAATAGAGCCTGATACTCAGGTTAACCCCGGGGTTGAACTCAGCCCTGGGTTGAATATTTTGTCATGTAATCGCGCGTTTGATTTTGATAGAGTTTTGTATTACAGACAGGGCTGAAATTTCAACCCGGTAAACAGGGCTGAGTTCAACCCCGGGGTTGAAAATGCTCCATGTAATCGGCCCCTAAGTGTGTAATTAGGTGAGCGTAATACTTGATGTAAAGCGCAGTTGGTCATATCCACATGTTCATTCGCGCGATAGACTGAAATGGTAATCTTAATCTTCATAAAGCTAGATCAGTATAATGATCGACGCAACTTGTTGAACCTTTTATCGCTTTATGGACTTGTATTACGTTTGTATATACCAATTAAATTGTTATTGTCTGAATAGAAATTCAAGCTTCCAACTTGCATCAGTGTGGTATGTTCTGACATTTTTCGTTTGCCCATGCATCCACGTCTCAAAAATACAGATCGAGTTAGCCATATTATATGGCCTTGGCCTTGCCATATAATAAAAACAACCTCGACTGGTTTGCGTTCAATTATTTATGGGAAACGACAAAACGCGGACCCCAGGTTCATGGACTACCTTCGTGGACCTGGTCCATGGACTACACTCGTGGACCACGGACCACTCCCGTGGACCACTCTCGTGGACCACTTGCGAAATTTCGCCTACCGAACAATAGACCAAGCACTATTATTCCGAGTTTAGGGAGCCGAGATTGGCGGGAACTATTTCATTATTCATTTCCATTATTTATCTCACAATCAATATAGGAATACTGTGGAGAATCTGGAGGGAGGGGGGGGGAGGGGGGTGTGGTCAAAGGATTTTACTGAATTATTCGAATTTTACTGTTAAAAAATCACTTGAACTGTAAAAGTCGTAAGTTGCAATGACCTTTCAATGCCTGAAGGTCCTCTCCCAAAAATATTAATTTTTGAAGCTTGATTACTGCTTTTCTTGCATTTCCTGTAGCGATCGAGAAAAGAAACTACCAATTTTAAGGGCATATATTCGGAAACTTTGCATTAAAGTCGTAATTGCACACTTATATTTTAGAACGGTCATGTAGTGAATGGATTTAGAACTTCACATTTTGTGTAAAGTTTCCACAATGATAATAATGACTGAACTCGACTCGAGCACATTTTTGCATGCACAGTCAAGAATTAAAACCCAAAAAATCTGGTGTCTCGCAAGTGGTCCATGAGAGTGGTCCACGAGAGTGGTCCACGAGAGTGGTCCACGAAAGTAGTCCACGGACCAGGTCCACGAAGGTAGTCCACGGACCTGGGGTCCGCGTTTTGTTATAAATAACTAGCTATTTACTGAATTAAAATCATGCTCTTTCTAAGTCTAAGTCTAAGGCAAAATATTTATAGGTAGTTTAAAAGCAATTACTGCATGAAGATTGAAGTAGCTAGTATATATCATGCAGTTTGCCGGCAGGGGCTGCATTTATACGCAGTTAACATCAAAGTTAATTTTGAGTATACGAAGCTGTTCGCTAATGCCTTTCTTGCTCGACAATCCATGGCGACGTTTTTTTCAACAGCTGTTTGTGAGGGAAATAATAAAATGAAAAATTTGCTGATTACTGTGGTATTTGTAATGGTTTTTACTTCAAAGCTGATGAGCGAAATGGCAACATCATTGTACTTTATCAAAATGAGGAAAGGTAAGTCTATTCGAAGCAAAAATAAGTCTTCTCTTCAACCGGCAATAGGTATATTCATTTTGAGTCACTAATAACTATATACAGTATTAATATTAGTTAGTGAAATGTGTAGAGTATAAATGTACGAAGTTTAAGAAATGTAGTTGAAAAGGGTACATTAATAAGGAATAAAGGACATATTAAGGGCACGACGTAATTTGAATTTTATTTTCGTAATAGAAGCCGGAATAGTGCATTAAATTAAGCTAGAGTTTCTTCCTTTGTGTAGGATTTATGTATAGGATTTATCTTAATGAAAAGGTTTGGCGTTGGACAAAGTGTGTTTTGAAGGCCATTTGTTACTATTAGTGTACAAGCCATAAGGCCTGTGATTAAATATTAACGGCTGCAAAGTAAAATATTATTAAGGTAATTCACACTAGATTACGCGAAGAGGAAAATTAAGAATTATTATATAGACAACTACCGATACAAGTTATTCTGCAATCTGCTGGCATGGCTAGCTCTCTATACTCGCAGGATATTAGGTCATATTCTGCTAGTGGAGAAAACAAGATGTCATTAATTATTAAGGGTGCAGAGCGGCTAAACATTTTTTCGGGGGGGGGGCAGGATTTTCACAACAACCATTTTTGGAGGGGTAATTTTTTAGGCAGATAGCGTCCCAAATTCTTGGGCACCTTTTCAGGGCGACATTTAAGAAATATAAAATATCTATACAGTTATAGAAACACGCGTAGAAATTTGGGAGAACGAGAAATAATTAGTGAAAAGACCAACGGGACTAAAAGATGTTTTCCTGTGAAGATTCGGACTCCCTAGCTGTGAAGATTGAGAGACGCCATGCATTTATTTTATTTTCACATAGGTGGTCCATTGCCAGCACCTGCTATTCTATCAACTCATATAGTAGATGTTGAAGAAGAATGTTCTCTAAAATGCCTGGAAGAACTTCACTGCTTTGGATTTAATTTTAACTCAGGATCGATAACCAATAAATATGCAAGTAAATCGAATTGTCAAATCAGTGGGAGGAATTTCGAAGATATGGAAATCATGGACGGCAATGATTGGGTATATTATCAGGTTTTGTCAACAGTGAGTAAATAAACTTTCATCTTTACGCCCCTGGTTGTATAAGGAGTTAGCCGAGAACTGTAAAGTAAAAATTGTTGTACGTATGTTACGAAAGTATATCTAAATAGTGTAAAAATAGTTCAGTTTGTACCCCAGGAAATTATAGATACTAGTTACGTCAAATGGAGAGATAATGAGCATTTTTGCTGTAAAACGCAGATAAAGTATATATCATTTCGGACTTGTGTAAAAGTGTCAATTATCTGTCCATTAGGCAAGATAAATAATTTGTCAAACTGTCAAAGATGGACGATAACCTTGCATGGTGGGCTGTTGTGTTTACATAATTCAAAGTCCAAGGCTGGTTCTTCTTTGACATGAAAATGTGCATGCTTAGGGCATTTCTGTCAATCATTCTTCGGTATATTTCGCGCGGTTGGGTAATGATAACATTACGTCATCAAAATTTTGGTTCGATAAATTTTGGTTCACATAGAGATAAGTTGAAGTTTTTACTATGATATTTTGATGAGTATTTTAAGTTGTGAACATATTTTAACATTGCTCGATTGAACAGCGAACCGACTCGACAAGTGCGACAACGCCTTAAATAAACAGAATGTGAGAGCTGGAACGAGCTACCAACGCCAACCCACACTTTTAAACCTCAACGTTGATTGGCTGGATGCAAATCACACCACTTGCTACATCACGTGTACAAGATTCCCTCAACCGTTAGTATAAAAGGGCGTGCACAACCCAAATTCGTCAATGGACAGTGGACTATAGAGTGAAATAAAGTGAACTTTAGGAAACTACTACGAGAAGACGAACATTATATTAAGAACTGATAGTTATTTAAGATTGATTGTAACGATTCACTACCTATAAATAAAGCCTCGTAACACGTAAATTGAATTTGATAACGTTCAAAGCGCTGTGGCAACTAGGAAAATGTAATGAAATTAAATTAAAATTCTCATGATAAATTTTACGTCCCCACATAAAAATCTTTATAAGCATTATTGAGCATTAAAGCAAAATCCCTGGCAAATATTTGAAAAAGGTTTTTTCCAACACGATTTCATATAGCATTTAAAATTTCCAAATGTTCTCTTTCCATAGAATGAAATGAAAAATCAGACTGAGAAGCAATTGGGTAAGTTCCAATTAACTTTACTATTTCCATATATATCTTTTGTCTTTTGTCCCCCTCTGTAACAAAGTTTCTCCCCGCACGTCTGAATTAATGCAGAATTTTAGCAGATGGGTCATGCAACCTCGCAAGCCCCAGGGTATTTACGTCCGCACGGCGCTCTTTGCTGAGCGCCGTGCGGAAGTAAAGACCCTGGCCTGGCTTGCGAGGTTGGCGATGGGCAGCAATTTCAAGTTAGTGAAAATTTCAGCAGACCGTTTTTTGTAGGTTGTAGTAATAATTAGTAGTAGTAATAATTCTCGCTGCTCGCTTTTGCAATTTATCATGTATACTACGTATATATGAGCAGTTTCGATCGTTCCACAAGGTGGAACATTAGATAGCTTAAAATCTACGACGTCGACGTCAGCTAGGACGTCAGGGCCAAGCAGAGGACTGGGACTAGGACGTCGTCCTAAATAAATAAACTTCCACTTAAGATTCACGACGTCGACACTTAAACTATAAATATTTACATCCTTTTGAAAATGAATTTCAAAGAGACGTGTGAATCCCGCCCCTGATTACTGTTTGTTATGCTCTTGTATCCAAGACGGTAAAACTCTTGTTGTGAGGTTGTCGACGTTTGGTGGACGACGAGCAAATTGAGAGAGACACATGCACACTTCAAAAACAAAATCTTCGTCGTTTGCATTAATCACTCTTTCCAGAATAACAACATTCTTTTTTTTTCTATTTAGATCAAAATTGCCCCGACAACTGGACGAAATTTGGCGGTGATCGCTGTTACTATGTCAGTGAGAAAACTGCCACGTGGGCTGCTGCACGAGCTGACTGTCAAGCACGTGGTGGCGACTTGGCGGTACCAAGATCTGCGGAAGACAGTCAACATATTTACGAGGTTGTGAACGAGCGCAATGTCAACAGAGTTTTGATTGGAGTGTACAGAGGTGCCGGAAATCTCGCTAACAAGTTTTACACCGTAGGATCAGGCGTCGAGGTATCGTATACCAATTGGAAGCGGGGCGAACCAAATGGCAATGACGGCTCTGAAAACTGCGTCGCCGTCAAAACACCGACAACGAAAGCTGCGTGGATTGATGTATCTTGTGACTACCCTCGATATTTTATGTGTGAACTTATATTGTAAAAATACGACTCGAAAAAATAGTCTGAAGGTATCTGTAACTCTTTTTATCTGCAAATACTGTAGAATAGTTTGGCGCCGCCAAGCGTGGGAAGGGGGGGGCGGCCGCCTCTAATATTTTTTAGCATGTAGTTTTAGATTCGTTCAAATCCAATGAAAAATTGGGGAGAGGGATGGAAAATTGTCACTAGACAGTGTATTCATAGTCATCATAGAATCTAATAATTTTGTTGAAATATAAAGTCCAATAATGACCATATGTCTCGCACTGGAGTAAATTGTCGAGTATTCTGAAATCAATATTTGATTCAACACCTTTACATTTTAACACCTTTACATTTTTTCCCAAGTGTCTCCACAATGCAGGAAACCCCCCTAGAATTGTGAGTTCACGAGTCACCCCCCCCCCCAATAAAATAAAATCCCGTTGACGCCAATGTAAACAGGGTGATTGCTTCAGTGTAAAAACAGTGGTATCAATGAAAGCCCCGGTTTACAAAAGTAATAATTAGTATTAGTATAATTACATAGGTGATTATTGAAAATTCTCCACGCTGATTGGTTGCCGTTGAGGTGATTATTACGCGATAATCACCTAAGCGATTTTCAAAATGGCGGCCGAAGCCTTTTTGTCAATTAAATGACCAAGAAATGTGTATTTTCTTATTTTTTCCAAATAATCACCTATGAAATTATACTAAAACAATTATTCACCTCAGGCTCGGTGATTATCGTGAATAAAAACCTCGACTTCGTCTCGGTTTTTATTCACCGATAATCACCTCGCCTTCGGCGAATAATTGTTAAATAATAATATCATACAGTAAGTATCTATTGACATATAAACACACTAGCTAGTATAGTTGTGTTTAACATTTTTAAATACTATAACTATTTAAAATGTGATATATAACCATTAAATCATTTAAATGTCTTGGAATGAAAGAGGCATTTTTGCACAGTATAGTAAATCCATTGATATCATGAATGATGTAATTAAACTCAGTAGCCATCCCATATTTTAAAACTTGAATGTGTTAAAATATCCCTATTTTGTACTTTTTAAGCCGGTTTTCCACTAGGCGTAATTTTGCGCGCGGAGTGGAATTTTTCTTTGGTTTTTGTATCTGCGCGTAGCGCAGATATATTGCTATCGCGTCAGTCCGTAAAGTAAAGTAAAGTAAAGTAAAGTAAAGTAAGTTAAGTTAAGTTGTTAAGTCCGTCAACCTTGTTTTGAAGACCTGTTCGCAGGCTAGAACAGCTTTAAAACAAGATGGCGTCTTTCGAAAAGCTTTCAAGAGTAGTAATCA